ACCACGAGAGCTCCTCTCCAAGGAGGGAGCAGCTCCATGGATCCCTCTCCAGCAGAGGACAACAGACATGGATAAGAAGAGGAAGCCCAAGTCCCAGCGCTCCAGCCCCTTGCCCAGCTGGCTGGAAGACGACACACCCAGGAGGGGGCTGTCCCAATGGGAAGAAGATGTGACACTTCAAGAACTCTATGAATGGGAAGAAGAAGTGAGAATCCGAGAACCTTCCCAACGGAGAGGCCGGAGACGCCGAGAGCTCTACAAGTTTGAAGAAGACGTGAGAGTCCGAGAGCTTTCCCAGTGGCGTGGTGGGAGACACCCGGAGCTGTGCCAACGGGAAGAAACTGTGACAGGCCAGGAGCTGCACGAATGGGAAGAAGGTGGTGTGAGATACCACGAGCTGACCCAATGGGAAGAACGTGTGACAATCCAAGCGCTGCCCCAAAGGGAAGAACGTGCGACAACCCGAGAGCTGCCCCAAAGGGAAGGTGTGAGTGACAAAAGGCTGTCTCAGGGGGGAGCTGATGTTGGTTACAGCAGTTGGGACAAACCTGTGAGCGCTGGGGATGCCCAGGCTGTTCCCCTGGAAGGGCCCAGCTCTCCCACCAGTGTGGGCACAGCGGTGGCAGCAGGGGCAGCCCGTGAGCTGCCCAGTCCAGCTCCTGCCCCGCTGAGTCCCACGGAGGCCGAGCCAGCAGCTCCTGCCCCAGCTGGAGCTGCCGAACAGGAGGAGCCCCAGGAGCCTCTCATTCCTGAGGAGACAAAGGCAGAAGGTTCTCCAAGCGTTGGGGAGCTGGTGCCATCAGCAGGGACAGAGAGCCCGGTCCCTGCCCCACAGAGTCCCTCAGAGAGCAGCCAGGCCCTGCTGGACATGGCCGAGCTCATCACCACTGAGATCCTGAAGAAGGCTGAGCTTGTGATGCAGGGATCTGAGCAGCAGCTGGAAGAACAGGGAGACATGGAAGAAACCACAGCTGCAGAAACACAAGAAACAGCAGCAGGGATAGAGAGCCCAGTCCCTGCCCCACAGAGCCCCTCAGAGGGCAGCCAGGTCCTGCTGAGCATGGCTGAGCTCGTCACCACTGAGATCCTGATAAAGGTTGAGCTTGAGATCCAGGGATCCAGCCAGGAGCTGGAGGAACAGGAAGACCTGGAACAAAGCACAGCTACAGAAATGCAAGAACGAGCAGCAGGGACACAGAGCCCAGTCCCTGCCCCACGGAGCCCCTCAGAGGCCAGCCAGGTCCTGCTGGACATGGCTGAGCTCATCACCACTGAGATCCTGAAGAAGGCTGAGCTTGAGATCCTGAAGAAGGCTGAGCTTGAGATCCAGGGATTTGTCCAGCAGCTGGAGGAACAGGGAGACCTGGAACAAACCAGGGCTACAGAAATGTTAACAACAGGTACCGCAGGCAGGCCAGAGAGCCTGGACTCTCTGCCACACAGCCTCTGCTGCCACTCCTGCCCTGTGTTCACCTATGTGGAAGCCAAGGCCCTCAGTGGGCAGCAGGAGGTGGGAGAAGGGGGGTCAGCCCTGGCAGTCCAGGAGACCGAGGAGGGGGCGTTTGCCGAGGATGAGAACAACTGGAAATTCTACGACGAGCTGGAGCTTTGCAAGCAACAGGATGAGAAAGAAGTCAATGGCTACCGGTGGGAAGACGGCATCGGCCAAGAGCTTTCCCAGGAGGAAGACTGCATTGGCCAAGAGTTTCCTGAAGGGGATGTTAAGAGACACTCAGAGCAGTCCCAGCGTGGAGGTGACAGTGACAGGGAGCTCACACTGGAGAACTGCGAATGCGTGACCGCCCACAACACCCAGGAGGAGGACGAGTGGGAGGAGTTGGGTGTCCTGGAGCTGCCCCAAGGAGAAGGCACGGAACACAGGCTGGGAATCCTTGCGGAAGAGGGGCTCCCGGTGCCTGTCCCTCGCGAGGCGTGGGCTGAGCGCCGGGCACCTGCTCCGTGCTCAGCAGGGCCGGTCTGTGCCTCCCCTCCCCAGCCAGAGGCCCAGGCCCTCCGAGGGGCTGCAGCTCCTCCTGCCTTGGACAGACAGGTGGCAGAAGCAGCGACACAGACCCAGGGCCCCAGGGAACATCCCTCTCGTTTCTGGCGGATGCTCGGGGCTCTGCTCGGGCTGTTCCGCACCTGCAGACCGGGACAGCCCCAGGATTAGGCCCCGCTCCAGTGCCGGGCCAGGCCCGGAGGGGGCAGCTGGCCCAGAGCCTGTACCATGCCCCGAAGGCACTGCATGCACACGTTCCTACAGGATGACCAACCCCTGGCTGCTTGGGATCACTCCAAGTGGATCTCACCGAGACCAAACAGCACCAAACCAGCACCGATGGGGGACAGTTCGTGCCAAGGTGGCTCAGTGGAGAACCACAGGGAATCCTCAAGGCTGGCAGAGACCTTCAGGATCATCCAGTGCCACCGTCACCCAGCACCACCAGAATCACCCCGAAACCACGTCCCCAAGGGCCACGTCCAGGTGCTTCTCCAACACTTCCAGAGACACCACCAACCACCTTCCGACTCCATCACTGACCAGCGACACCTACTCGATTCCTGACTGCTCCTGCTGGGAATGAGCCAACACAGGACCTCCCAGAACCTCTCTGCAGGACTGCCACAGCCACAACTATTCCACAGCAAATGAAAGTTGGCTTAAATTAATAATCATTATAACAAATTATTAAAAACCAATAAATTAAAAATAAAATATAATAAAAAACCTAAATGATTGGATGTCATAATAATTATTAATATATACTCCAGCATATTATATATATATGTAATGATACCATCTATTATAATTCATTATAATAATTAAATGTTGCCTTATATTCCTTAAAATATTACCACAGTTGCAATGCGTTTGCCCAGGGAGTGACAAAGAAAATGAAGACAGAACACTGCTCAAGTTACTTAAGAATTTGTATATTTTCTACTTAAATTTGTAAGGCATAAGAAAAGAGTGTACCGATTTCATTTTTTATCTACTCTAGACACTTATGCATTTGAAAACTCCAGTACCAGTCAGTGATCTGTGACGAGGGACTGCTCAGCTCCCAACCCCAGCAGGAGGGTTCCCAGTTGAGGGTGGCAGGGCAGGTGTGTCCGTCCTCTCTAAAGGCAAACTAAACCTGCACGTTGGACCTGACTGACAGATAATTGGGATCCAAACACATCTGCCCCAGGACTGTCCAGCAAAGCCTCCACAGACACACTCTGACCCCGACTATTGCCTTTAAGTCAAGCTTTGTTAGGAAGCAAGC